AAACAAATACAAACACAAAATTTAAAACTATTAGGCGACGCGCTGTCTTAGAGGGTCTCTGGTCAACACTTTATTGTCTTGAGAAATATTTGTTACAAGTGTTGGCGATCTGAAATTGAATTCCAACAGTTCAAATGCCTTTCCTGGAAAATGTTTTCTCCAATACAAGTTAATTCTTAATTAATTAAAAAAAAAACACTTTTACCGCAGGCTATAATCTATTCATCGCTAGTTCAACTTCACGCGCAGATTGTTATCTGACATTCGATCAAACTTAGTTTTCTATTGAGCCATTAGAACGCCACCAAAGTAGACCAAACATGCGAAGTATGCACGTGAACGCACTACTCTAATCTTTGACCAGAAAGGCTGAGTCTGCACTTGGTGGGTCATAGTGCCAGGCGTTCCTAGCGGAGAGTGCGAAACTGGGAATGATAATTGCAACACGAAGACGGAACTGTAGTGACCAAACTATGGCTACTGACTTAAAAAGCAACTGTATGATGCTCCTACAAACACCTCAGATGTTGAAGAAATCGGGGATCAACAAAGGAAACCCAGTGAATTACCTGGCATTCATCGTCCGAATCGTCCATGTTTGTGTTGAAAAACAGAATGCTATAATGCAACGTGACGCAATTGGCGGGAAAGAAGAGGAGCCTGCACTCATTGTAGTCAGTTGAATGAATACCCAACGTTCCCTACCCTTCCCCTACTGACTCCCCTTTCCCCAATAACATCTTTTCATATTTCGAGCTAATACCAGTTTATTTTTGTTTTACATTAAACAAAAAGAGCTTTCATCTCTGGACGGTTTTTACGTCTCTGCAGTAGCAGTTTAATAGTTTTATTTGATGACATTCATTTCAGTCCGATATTTTTAAAGGTAAAAAGTATGAAAACTGTTCAAATCTTCTTTGAAGACTGCGCGGCAGCAAGTTAAAGTGCAATTTAATTAAATTAGACTTTCAACATGTCAGAGGTTTTTTTCCCTCTCTTTCTATTCTCGGTGAAGTTGTGTTGTGTTGTGTTGTGTAAAAAGGGTAAACTTACGACTCGTATGAAATGCGAAGAAGTCTCTAAATTAACTGAGTACTTTTGTGCAAAAATTCCTCTTGGGGGTTGGAAGGGCTATGTGATCGGTGAGTGAGGGAGTTATGCATGTGTGCATGTCACACCAATCACAGTGTGGGTTGTATCAAAGAACGAATCACATTGCCTGTTAGAAGATAAGGTGGTATCTACATTAATCTAGAGACGTGTCAGATTACTATAGTTTACTCAGTCAAACATTTTATGGCTTACTATTTAGCTATCTTACCATTACCGATGTAACATCACATGTACATCATAAACTCCCAGTTTGTTTCTTGCTGTACATCACAACCAAAAAACCTTGTCAAATTAACAAAATCGTTACTGTAAACAGCTCCATGAATGCTCCTATCTCAGACACTTCACACAAAAAAAATAACTCTTGCACGCCTTGCGTGCCTATGTTTATAATTGGTAACATCTAAACCTGAGGCTAGCCGAAATATTGTTTTGAATATACCTTGTGTCAGCCTTGCAGTAGTCTTTGACTTATTATCATTTTACTTTTCAAGTTTGGCTGATTAGATCTCCTGTGAGATCCAACGTTCAATCAACTGAGCAGTCCACGTTCAACCAACATCGAGTTAAGTTTAGATTAAAGTTGTGTTCTCTATACTTGTCTTGTTTATTTTAGTATATTGATCTGAACTCTGARTRGGATGTGAAATGCACATAAACTTGGAAAGAAATYCCCAAATACTTGATTTTGATAAGCTTAAATGATTTTTACCTTGCCTTGTGTTTACACTTTTGCTTCCTGATTGAAAAGATAAGAAAGGGAAAGAAACCCTGTGAGCTTGTCCCCAATTAGTAGTTAACACTAAATACATTGACACTTCAATAGAGCTGTTATTATTATTGTTGGAACACATATTTATGGGTGGACAGATTTTTCGGATCAACACTGAAAATGCTTGCAAAAGAGGCTGTTTATTTCGATGTATTTTATGTGCAATATATGTAGAGACAAGCGGTGGAAAAGAAGTGCTGTCTCATAAGAAACCTTACCTATAGCCTTGAATGACATGCAATGAAAAATGTTTGTGAGCTCATCCGACTTGAATACATGCAAGTTTTTCCAGCAGGCAGATCAACACGAAGATCTGGGTGTGAGGGAAGCGGGGGAGGGGAGAGCACTCCATGATTTGTTGGGCAGGAGTGACCTTTGTGACCCAAGAACCCTTAGCCTTTACCACTCCATGTTCTACTGCAATTTTGCCACCCTTGCTATTCTGGAAGTATGTCTGTGATATGTGTGCAAAAAAAAGCAACGAAAAAAGCCTACACTTTGTGAGTTAAGTGCAACCTTGCATGGTAAAAACCCGGTCTGTTTTAACATTTAACAGCATTTAATAATAAACCAGTAATTGCAATTTCACCAATATGTTTCATCTCTAGATTACTTAATCCACAAGTTTGGCCCTTGGTCTCCTTTGATTCGTTAGCAAGTTAATTATTTATTGTTCAATGATGTTTTTCTTGGTTTATTGCGGAACAAGGCACGAAAAACTTGTAAGTATACATCGGTTTTTACTTACGTTTCTCATCGTTGGTATTTTGGTTTTCTATGTTGCTTATTCAGCGGATTCATGTCTTTCCATTTCAGTGAATTGCTCGTTCGTGTAAATAAAAGTCAAGTTCAGTGTATCTCAAATATTAGCCTTGTTACCGCAGTTCAGTAGCGAACATTGGGTTCCTACATCATTCAAAGATTTTCTTGGCATAGATTGTTCATGAGATGTCAGATGAGGCGAGAAGTACGTTGCCTCAACAGGAATTATCGCCGAGCGAAGATCTTTGCATCGAAACTACAAGCTTGCATCATGTTGCACGATCCGAAACTGTGGGTCCCCTGGAATTTGTTCGCACTACAAGACAGAAAGTGCTGTCGAAGTTTATGGATTCAGAAGAAGTTCAAAGTGGAAGGGCGATCGATCTAAAGGCGAAAAGGGCAGGACACTTAGGAGACCTAAGAAAGAGGTTGAAATTTGTTCAAAGACTTATCTCTGAACATGCGAGCGAAGAAGTGATTCAAGGTGTAGACGATTACGAGAGTGCTTTACACAGATTTGTTGATGCTCACGAGACTTACTTGAAGTTTGAAGACAACGAAGAAATGGTAAATACAGCCAACGAAAGTTACGAGAAGGAAAAGGAGAACACATTTCTCCTCGACGTTGAGCTCAACATGTGGAAATTAAAGATGAAACACAATACGAAGGGAATGTTAAGATCAGTTCACAAATCACGTCGATCAAGAAATACTGGGAGAAGTTCAAATTCCAGTAGGAGCAGTGTGAGAGACAAGTGGAGAACACTTGAAGAAGCACAACTAAAAGTGGAAGTGCTGGAGCGAAAACAGAGCCTTGAGCGTCGTTTAGAAGAAAAAGTTGACTTTAAGAGGAGAGAACTTGAAATTGCTGAAGACAGAGAACGAAGCAAGGCTGAGTTGGCAAGAAAGATTGAAAGGATGCAGGCAGAAATGGAATTCAAGAAGGCTGCTGTTGATCTTGAGATTGAGCAAGAAGAATTGCAAAACGACCACTCCGACAATGAAACTTTGGTAAGTGATATAATTCCAGCATTACCCTTAGAGTTGGGCTCTCATGCATCACCCACTCATGTTAGCTTACCATCAAACGTATTCTTACCTGTGGATCCTCTATTTGATGCTCAGAATGTAATGTCCGAGGCTTTGAAAGTTGATCATGGGGTGTCGTCAGCATCGCTTATCACCGCAGTACATGCCACTACCCACTCCTGCTTCTCAGTGGAAAGGGACTTCTTCAAAGGCAGATGCAAATGATATCACACAGAGTGTAAATATGCCAAGGGCAACAAGTTCCCCAACCGCCACCAAAGAGCAGACATTTCGTACAGAAAGGTGC